CTCCTTTTCGCAAGTGGCAGACACCTTCGGGCTGCTTGGGACTCGGGGAGCTTGAGCCTGAGGCCCTCGGAGCGCCCAGGGCCTCCAAACCCTGGTTTAGGGTTTAGGGTTTAGGGTACCCTGGGATCTTACGGATTCAACCACGGTTCTGGGGTATTATATAAACCCCAAACCCTAAACCCTGAACCCCTAAACCCATGCGATGGTATAATGAAGTAAGGAGAACTTATAAGGGCCCTAGACTAAACCGACCAAGTTTGCCTCGTGGTCGTGATCGGGGGCCCCGTTCGTTTTTGAGCAGGGGCGACGCAAGATGCTAGCAAACCAGGTTGGATTCGGGGCTTCTGCCAGGGAGTCCAGCTCTATGGTTCAAATGCGGTACGGTTTAGGGTTTAGGGTTTAGGGTTTAGGGTTTTTTAGGGTTTAGTGTTTAGGGGAAAGCCCTCCTAGCTTAAGCAGCGCACCATTTTCTCCGCCCTTTGGTCAGCACCATTTGGCAGGTAGGTGTCGAACAGCCAGGATTTGTAGGTTCTGCGCGGCCGCATGTCTGCGAAGAAGGCCCGCGGGAAGGCCAAGTAGCCTTTCTCATGATCACAGGAAGTCCCTGCTTCTTTTTACGGACCTACAGAAATTAGGACATCATAGTAAGGAACCCTTAGAATAGATAGGTTCGGGGTTCAGGTACTACCCACAACAGCAACTAGAACAAAGCTTAAAACTTGGAGATACTGCCCGAAGTTGCACCCTGAATCCTAACCCAAGAAACCCTAAGCCCTAAACCCTATACTAAACAATACAGGGCTGTGCAATTCTCGACAACGAGGCCCAGTAGGAGGAAAATCAGGTCGGTGGCGCAGCCGGCGCGAATCTGCAAAGGGGTAGTTCTCTAAATCAGGGCCCCTTTTAGGGTCCTTGTTATAAGGGTGCCGTACTATATTGGGGACCTAAAAAGGGACCCTAATTTAGAAAACTACCCATATGGACTTGCTCTAAACTCTAAGCCCTAAACCACTATGGGCTTTAGGAGCTTCCGGATCCTCAACAAATGGGATCTTTTTACAAAAAGTCACAACAAGGGCCCCCCATGATATAGGTGCCTTAATAATGGGAAGAGCTCCTTCCTTAAGAGTTCCATAAGGGATGCTTCTTGGTCATGATACAAAAAAGGCGCATGGTTTAGAGCTTCGGGTCGGACTACGCTTGAAATTGCACGAGTCGAGGATTCTGTGTTGTGGGACATAGCAACAGTAGCCGGGCCCAACAAAGCAGAAACGTTAAAAGGTATAGTGAATACATGTCTAAAAGTTATCTGGATATATAATTTAAGGCCTTTAAAGTTCTGCCATTGGCTGTTAAGTAAGATGATTAGGCTCAGAGCGGATGAAAGTAAAGTGTTAACCAAAACAAAGAAGAAGCCGATGGAGATGCGATGGTGATGATGATGATGGTGGTGATGATGATGATGATGTTGATGATGATGCTGATGATGATGATGATGATGACGAATAGGACAAATTTGCAATGGTGATCGTGATGCGATTGTTGGCGATGCTGATGCTTCAAATAATTGTCGCGATGATCTGATGACAATGGCGATGGCGAATCTGCAGTTGATGATGCTGGCAGTGGACATTATGCAGAGGAGGCAGACCTTCATGATGATTATAATCACTTCCGTTGAGGGGCCGACGCAGCTTTACTGCCGGCTACAGAGGCTTCTTGCCGAGAATGCGACAGAAAACGCGTATACTTTCTGCTGTACTACCTTGGTAGTAAAAATTCATAAGTGTGATTGTGACATCTACATTAGCAAAACTTATCAAGTTCAAACCACGACAAAACAAAAACCAGTTCTAAAGCACACCCTACTAGAAGGTCCCATGCTATGCCATACCAAACCCGTATAAAACAGCTGTCACCTTATTTGAGACCCTTCCAGAGTCATCTACAGCTCTTATAAAACCGTCATTGAAAATTTGGCTAAAACCCTTTCAAAACCAGCCTACAACCCTTGCAGTACATAAACCCAAAACCCTAAACCCGAAACCCTAAACCCCTAAACCCTAAACCCAACACCCTAAACAGCAGGAACCGAAGCAACAAAAAGCTGTTGTGTGCTCCGGGGAGGCGCGCCTCCAGCGGAATACCGAAGTCCGTGCCCTGAAGTCCATCAGAGGCTTATAGGGTTTAGGGTTTAGGGTCTAGGGTTTAGGGTTTGGGGTCCAAGGTTTGGGGTTCAAGGTTTGGGATTTAAGGTTTGGGGTTTATGGCTTAAGGTTTTAGGTTTAAGGTATAAGGGTTTATGGGGCTTAAGGTTAATTTATAAGGCAAAAACCCAAAATCAGAAAAGTGCAGGAAAAAAAAAGAGGAGCCGGAATTAAGAGCTTTTGCGGAAGGATCTTATCAGGGTTTATGAAGCATTTTCAGGAGTTCTTGAGCTTTGCAAGGGATTCATAAGGTTCCAAGATAGGCTGCAAGGGATCTAAGGCTTAAGGGTTTTGGGGTACAGCCCCCTTCATAACTAGAACAACGGTTTGGGAGATCAGCAAGCATTATGGCCCCTATGCGAGGCCCTCGGTTTAGGGCATAGGTCTTTCAAACTAGAAATGATGAATGCTGGCTGGTTGCCACTTCGGCCTATGTTATGTAAAAAACTGAAGCAGGGAGAACTCCAAGCACATCCGGAAGCAAGTCCTGCCTGCAGGAAGCAGAAGGCTGCGAAGAGGAACTGAAGTATGTTGCAGAACAGCATAGCCCAGGCTCGTCGATGATAGAGGCTGTCAAAAGCCAGCATCATCAGGTAGCCTCCGATGCTGGCCATGCCCGATTATAGAAGCACAAAAAACGCACCAAGACATAGATCTTTAAAGGTAATCTCTGCGACGGGATGCGTTTCAGTAGTCGATGTGTGTACATCTTGTTCTCGGAGTTTTTTTTGCTCGGAGTCACGCAACCCCGAAATCCATAGAATCTCAAGAACCACGGAGATCCATAAAAAAAAACCTCGTAGAGCCCTGAACACAAGCAAATAAACCCCTTCTACCTGCCTGGACCCAAAAGAACCCACCTTTGTAGGGTTCCTTATTATGATTCCTTTGTATAAGTCTTTCAAAAGGTAGGTTAATTGGGGTCAAGGTGGATGCTCAATGAAAAAACCCTAGCCGCTACCATGACCCTTTACACAAGTCATTAAAAAAGCTTGTAACAGCCCTCAAAACACGTTGAAACCCTGTAAAACACCCCATAGACCGTCCGCAAAGACTACACCCTAAACCCCGAACCCTATAATACCTTAAACCCTATAGAACCTAAACCCTGGCTATTCCCTGGAACCTCTGCCCTGTCACCTATCTATACCCTCAATCCTCGACCCTAGTTTTGGGTTTAGGGTTTAGGGTTTAGGGTTCCATGGTTTAGGGTTTAGGGTTTAAGGCTCTAAACCCTACCCGAAACCGTACACTGCGAAGGCACCCCGGAGCTGTGCGAGAGGGGTCGGCAGGCAGACCAGGAAAGTTGTCGCCAGGATGCCTCGCCGGTTTGGGGGTTTTTAGGGTGTAGGGTTTAGGGCTTACAGGGTCTAGAGTTCAAGAGTTTAGGGTTTAGGGTTTAGGGTTTACAGGGTCTAGAGTTCAAAAGTTTAGGGTTTAGGGTGTAGGGTTTAGGGATTACTCTCGAGTTCAGGGTTCAGGGTTCAGGGTGTCGGGTTTAGGGGTCAGGGTTTAGGGTTTAGGGTCATCCTTACCATTAGTGTTTATAGGGCTTAGGGATGTTAATTAGGGATTCGGGATGTTTGGGAACACTCTGTTTTTTGGTAAGGTTTTCGTGATCATCTTGAGCTACCAAAACCGACTTTTCGTAGGGTCCCAGTACATTGGGGTCTCTGATAAGAAGGGCAGGGTTTACAAGGTTAGGTTTATTTATAGGGGTTTAGTTAAAGGTATGTGGACCTTTACGGATATGCGCAAGGTTCCAAGTATTCCTTAGCCTCAGTCAGCAGGACGTGTTTCGGTACCAAGCAGCCACAAACGAAAAGGGAGCTGGACCCCCTACAGCGCCCTAATTACAGACGTTTGGGCAACCACGACGGGACACTGTGGATAACGACTCCTTCTTTACTTCTCGCCGGGCCACGAAACATGGGTTGTTAGAATTGAGGATCTCCTTATTTATCCCAAGCCAAGAGCACCCAAAGAACTGGGCGCCTTTTGAAGCTCGGAACTCGGAACCTTCAGACTCCCATCTACCGACTCCGGATCGCCAAACTCTCAACCTCTGAGACAAGTAGCCGTAGCCATAGCTTTGAAGGGTTCGGGGTTTAGGGTTTAGGGTTTGGGGATCCATGTTTACCTGCAAGGCTAAGCCCCACAAGCCCGAGGCCCAAGCAGGCTCAAGCCTCCAAGGCTGAGGGAGCCTCCAGAAACTACAGGCCGTAAATCCGACATAAGCCTGGAACTCCCCCATTGCTCAAACCCTACACCCTAAATCCCAACCCCTAACTAAGCCCGGCCTAACCCTAAATCCTAAAGCTCGCCAAGGCTTAGAACCCTAAGCCTTAAATCCTATGTCCTAAACCCGAAACCCTGATTAAACCCGACCTAAAACCCTAAACCCTAAACCTCTCCAAGGCTGAGAGAGACTCAACCCCAAGCCCTAAACCCTAAACTCCCTAAACTCTACTTATAAACTGTAACTCTAACCCCTAAACTCTACTGTATAAGCCCTAAAAGCCCTAAACCCTAAACTCTACTTTATAAGCCCTACAAAACCCTCAACCCTAAACTTTACTTTCTAAGCCCTATAAGCCACTAAACCCGAAAAACCCTACAACCCTGAGGCCTGGATCTCCCCTAGGCTTAGGGAGACTCCCGACCCCATTATAAGCCCTAACCCCTGTACTAATATACACCCTAAACCCTAAACCCTAAACCCTAAACCCTAAACCCTAAACCCTAAACCCCTAAACCCTAAACATGTAAGCCCTTGCAACCTCTCTCCCTGAGGCTTAGGGAGACTCGGGATCCCATCCCGCCGTGCCTCACCGCGCTGGGAAGCGGCCCGGTGTCTGTGGAGGGCCAGGCGGGGCCTCAGGGAGACCTGGGATTTTTGGGTTTTCGGATTTTCAATCCCAAACCCTAAACCCTAAACCCTAAATAAACCCTAAACCTTAAACCTTAAACCCTAAACCCTAGTTCAGGGTTTTGGTTTGAGGGTTTGGGGTTTCGGCCTTGGGTTTCGGGGTGAGTTGGAGAGGGTTAAGACTTCCGAGTTCTTTGGGGTTTGGGGGACGGTGGCTCACCTAGTTTGTTTGGCGTCTGACCGATGCATCAAGGTTTGCTGGTCTCGGAGAGCAAGGCTCAACTGGTTCAGGTATAGTCTTATCTACCCCAAGCACAGGTTTTCTTAGCAGTGCCGATTAGAAACCCAAAAAGGACATAAGCAAAAGCATTTTATAGGGATATCCCTACCTTCTTGGGCTTCCTTTTAAGGGTTTTTTTATGGGATATCCATATCAGATTTTTTGCTGACGTGCTTTTTTGGGGCCCTATTTAAACGCCGTCGAGGCCACGCGTAACGCTAGAGCCCAGGTCATCGCCGCGGGTCAGAGCCGTAGCTTCTCGAAGTAAGTCCTCAATGTTGCAACCCCAGCAAGGTTATAATAAAGCCCGTGGCAACGGCGAGAAGCTTGTAGCATGAAGAGTCAGAAGGACAATGGTATGAAGGGGTTTATAGGGTTTACCCATAGGCCCCATAGTAGTTCCTTTTGGGGTTACCTTATAGGATTCAATATATGAAACCCCAAAAGGAACTACTATGGGGCCTCTAGGTTTAGGGACAACACAGCACGGCCTCTTCGACCCGAGTGCGAAAGCTTCTGAACGCACCACCTTGTGTTCTACACCGCGAAACAGCAAAACCATGCCAAAAAAACGCTTGAACCCCCAACTCTTCAACCCAGAACCCCCAGAAGCCCTCATATATATATATATATGTATATGTATGTATGTATATATGTTCGTAGGTTTCTGTAGATATATTTCTGAACATATACATCACAATCTAGTAGAATCGTGAAGTTCAATCAAAAACAAGGCCTAAACCCAAAGTCTTTTGAACCGCTAGGTGGTGGCTGTGAAGACACCCTACGTGTTGCAGCACGGCTCGGAGATCGGTTTGCTCTACGGCAAACAGCTGCTGGTCCGCTTCCGCTTCCACGACATGTCCGTCAAGGGCAGCATGAGCCTTTGCCTTTAGAGATGACATAGGGGCCTGGGGTATACAGCATGCTTCTTACGACCATTAGCATGTTGATTAGACATTGGGTTGAACAAACCCCAAGCCCCATACAACAACGAAGCCCTAAACCCTAAACAATGTATGACCCGACGCTCGAGTCTACCTGTGTTTGAGTTTTATTTGTCTTTCCGTTGTGTTGTGGCGAAGGCTTTGGAACAAAAACAGTGATTCCAGAGAGGCCGATATCCTTCCAAGTAGGGATAATCCATTCGGTCGCAACAAACAGCCCTTTGTAAGTTGCAGTGCTTACCTAGCCTAAGGTGTTATAGCCCCGGAATAAACACCTTCTCTCGTGATTGAGGATGGTAGTTAAATGCCGATGCACTCTACAAGGGTATTGGGCCTTCTGGGAACAGAGCGGAAGAGTCTTGTGACGGATCCCGATGTGTCGGAGCGTCAGAGACCCCATTAAAGCCCACTCATCGCATAATGCATCGTCTTACCCTAACCCCCCAGGTACCTACTATATCGGGTACTAGAGCCCCTAGGGCCCTATATAGTAGGTGCCTGGGGGGGTTTGGGTTACATAACCTACCAACTCGGCTTCATCACAATGCCTTGCTAGGAGCTTAAGTCCCGAAGCCCTGCACACACTAAAGCCCCGAAGCCTAAACTGGAGCGCCAGAGCCCAATCTCTATGAACCCTGACCCTGAACCTAAACCCTAAACCCTATAAATCCTTTAAACCCTATAAACCCTATAAACTCTAAACCCTAAACCCTATAAACCCTATAAGCCCTATAAACCTACAAACCCTAAACCCTATAAGCCATAGCTCGAGGAGCCTTCGCAGCTACATCGCCCAGCCCTCCTCGCCCAACCGGGCGGGCGCTTCACCGCAGAACCGGGCGCCACTCGTGCCGGCCTCGCCAGCCGTGGCGCAGCGGAATGCCGGACTGCTCCAGAGATAGAGTTCACACTTTGGGGTTTAGTGTTTGTCTTTGTTAGGATTCAAGTTGTAGGTGTAGATGTCTGGTTCTGGGTTTATGTTCGGGGCATGAGTGCTTTCAGATTGAATGCCATCGTAGGTGCATGGACGAAATAGCTTTTGCTTCTTGCCTGGTTTGTTTATAGATTGGTCGATTCCGGGGCTTGTATTTGTGTATACCACTATATCGAATGGTTTTGCATCAGGTTTGGAATTTCGAGTGACAATATGTCAACATGCTGGCATGATTTCGAGTGAGTGTAGTATGTTGCCAGCTTGTACGATGCAGGGGGGGCCTCTTAGCCCAGACATATGCAGCAGCACTGTGTCTCATCATACTCTTTGTATGTACTTGCTGGTATATTTCACTACGTCTTCCAGAGCATGGGCTATGTTCGTATGTTCAAAGTTCTACCTTCTTGTTTCCTTGTTGCAGAGATTGGGATGAGGCTCACTGGTTGAAGGCTGCACCTGGCTAAGTACGTTTCTGCATGGTTCGGGAGTATGCTCTCGCTACAGTCCTCCGTTCCAGTTGAGGCAGCTAGCTGCCCGGCAGTGTAAGCTGCGATAGGAGCCTTACAACACGAAATGACTTGCTGCGATTGCTTGTATCCTTGCCGTATTAGACCTTAAAGCCTTACATGGCATGACTCACATCCACAAACAGTATCGATCAGCCGGAAACCACGGACTCAAACCGAATGATGAAACAAATATCCCGCGGTGCCTGTGAGAACAACATGGTTTTGGGTCTGTACCTATAGTATCTATTGCAGTTCTTTTTTTGTTTCCCACAAAGGGTGCCGGAAGAGTATTATCAAAGTGGAGCCCTGGAGACTGCCTTTCTGAACCCCAAGAGAAGGAACATGCGAAGCTCTTAAGCCGAAAATTTAAACCCCCAGATCCGACACCACAGGTGAACCATCCATCCTAGACTCCTTGTCTTGTGTAGGACCCAGCAACGGCTACCCGCATGCTGCGCAGTCCGGCTTCCTGCCTCCGGAAAAACCTTCTGTTCAGGTTTCGTGATGAGCCTTTGAGTTGTCTGGGTTTAGGAAACTAGGTGTCGTTTTTGTCGAGGCATTCGGGTTATGTTTTGGACCCGACGTTTCGACTTGGGATCCCAACATATCCCACACTCGCTCCGCAGCCTGGGCGACTCATAGCAGGGATCGGAGAAATTTTCTTTAGGGTTTAGGGTGGAACTGGAGGCTGGCTGCACGAATAGTAGGTTTGGCGAAGAAGGATCCACAAGCGATAGCAATTCGAAACCTGATGATTGCGATCGCAGCACTGTAATTATGTAACAAGTCTCCGTCACCCTAGGAGAACGACAAGGATGGTTCGAGGCTCCTCCCCTGAACACCTAAACCCTAAATCTCTGAACCCTATAGAGACCATAGACCCTGAAACGCAAGATCCTCAATCCCATACGCTAGAAACCCTAAACCTTTAAGCCCTTCGAGACCATAGACCCCAAAAAGAGACCATGCACCCTGAAACGCTAGGTCCTAAACCCCATACCCTAGAAGCCTAAACCCCTAAACCCTTATGGAGACCCTAAGCCCACAAGCCCTTCGAGACCCTAGACCCTAAAACGCTAAATCCTAGATAAACCCAATCCCTTTAGGGTTAAGAGTTTAGGGCTTTAGGGGGTTTAGGGGTTTAGGGTTTAGGGGTTTAGGGTTTAGGGTGTATAGGGTAGAGAGACCCGAAACCCCAGAACCCCGAGCCCTGAAGCTTCCAGGAACACCGGTATCGGGACAGGCCTCGGTAAGGGGCGCCAGCACCCGACGAACGCGGGTGTCTTGGCACAGCTTCATACAAGGGCCGTGGAGGTAGACATAAGGCTTTCGGAGGAATATAGGGGGCCTTTCCGATCGGGTTTTGTTGCAGGAATATAGGGGCCTTTCTGTTAGGGTTTTGGTGTAGGAATATAGGGGCCTTACTACTTAGACTAGGGCGTTCATAGGAAAAGAGTGGCCGTCTCAACTAGAACAGGGGGTTTCTCAAAGGACTAAACCCTAGACCCTAAACCCTAAACCCTAAACCCTAAACCCTAAACCCTAAACCCTAAACCCAGGGCCTCCTCAGCTTCAACAAGCGGGGGGTTCTTAGGGGACTGCAGGGGCTTCCAAAAACTAGACTCGGGGTTTGTATAATATGGGGGCCCTAATCATTAGAATAGGGGTTTGGGGCCCATTATACCATAATTAGAATAAGGAATCCCCCCCCCAAAAAAATATCAGAGGTAATTCTTAAGACCCCTACATTTAGGGCCCTGAAGCCCCAAAGCCCCAGCCCGAACCGCAGATGAACATCCTCGACTGATGCTCACCTACAGCCCGAAAGCCCCCAGCCTTAAACACCTGACCCCTGAACCCAAACCCTAAACCCTGAACCCTGAATCCTAATCCCTAAACCGCAAACCCTAAACCCTGGACACTAAACTTACCACCCTAACAGTTCCCAGGACCGGAGCAATCCGTCTTGGACGGGCTCCTTCATCGAGGACCGAATTCGGCATGTTGGGCTTGCAGGGATGAAGGTTTTAGCGTTTATGGGAAATTTAAGTTTTCGGGAAGCATATAGGGGTTAGGAATTAGTCGGTTTACGGGTTGGGTTTAGCAATCAGGCGACAGTCTTACATTATTTTTGCAATACCTCAGTTTTCTGGGCGCATACCGCGAGGACTCAGAGCCCTGCTGGAGTTCTAGGACAAAGACGACATGACCCTAGATCTATGTCTATACCTCTATATACATATGCATATATACATGTCTCTATATCTATATCGTTGTCCATATCTATATGTATTTCTACATCTATGTCTATATCTTTATCTATGTCATCTATATCTATATATATATATATACACATGTACATCTGTCTCTGTATGTGTACCTATATCTGTATCTATATCTTTGTCTATATCTAGATCTATGTCTATTTCTATATCTATATCCACATCTAAAACTTTTCTGTATCTAGATCTATATCTTTTCTATGTCTAGTCTATATCTATATCTATATCTATATCTATATCTATATCTATATCTATATCTATATCTCTATCTATATCTATATCTCTATCTATATCTATATCTCTATCTATATCTGTATATCTATCTATATATCTGTATCTATCTCTATATCTATCTCTATCTCTCTGTCTCTGTATCTCTCTATCTCTCCATCTCTCTATCTCTCTATCTGTCAATCAATGAATCAATCTATCTATCTATCAATCTATCTTTCTATCTGTCTATGTATCTATCTATCTATCTATCTATCCATCTATCCATCCATCTATCTATCTGATTCTCTGTCGATGTTTTATCTATATTTGTTCATGTGAGTCCAGGGACCAATTTTCCTCCATTGAGGCTTCTGTCGAACTGTGCTGAGATCGATCCGTCTTGACAAGACTGATCCTTGCTCGATAGAGATGCAACTGGCAAAGGAAGGCTTACGATCGGGTGAGAAACGCAAAGGTCGAAGTTCCGAGCTGCTACGCGCAGGACATGGAGTTCCGCACCAGCATTCCAGGCGTCCCGCAGGCGCAGGCGCAGGCGCAGGCAGCTAGTGTCCAAACACTTCCTGCAAGCACAGCTCGCATTTTACAAGACCTCCTCACTTCATTGCGACGCCCTGATCCCCTAACCCTAAACCCTGAACCCTAAACCCTAAACCCTAAACCGCCCAAAAGGAAGTCCAACACTGATGCCCAAACCGAGGCCCGACACTCGAAGCCGAAGCGAGACTCAGCCCTGACTCTTCTAGGCTCCGGCTCTGGGCCACAACCATATGGGTGGTTGTCAAAATTATGGTCCTTTTTTGGGTCCGTGACCATAATTTTGACAACTACCCATATATCCACCAGATTTTTTCCTCAAGCCAACCTGTCTACTCTTGAAGGTTCAGGTGCAGAGCCGCGGGATAACCTCGAATCTAAAGTGCATTGCACCCAATCCCTGTGGTTGACTGACTTCTGAAGGTCTCGCACTGAATCCCTGCATCTCCACACACTTCGCGCCATCGGGAACATTGAAATTGACACTGGAAAGTCTACAGCAAGCAGAACTGCACACCTATGTTTTTAAGCTAGGTTGGGGAACCTCAACTAAATGGCTCCTAAAATCCCCTTCAAAACTTCAAAACGCAAGCTTTCAGTTCTCCGTAAACCCTAAACCCTAAACCTAATGAAAGCTTTCAGTCGTCGCTAAACCATAAACCCTAAACCTAAACCCTAAACCCTCAACGTAATGCAAGCTTTCAGCTTTTGGGCCCCAAAGCTGGACAGCCAAAGATCCTGTCGAGGCTGCGCCACGAAGTACCGTTGCTGCAACCAGCGGCACCAGCGCCGCGAACGCGGTGGCACCGCCTGTGGTGTGTTTGGAGCTTTGGGGAGACCAGGTGGGCCTCTTGCATCGAGTACCTGAAGCAGTACCTATACCTTACCTTACCTATAGGGTGGTTTAGTGTTTTAGGATTTAGGGTCTGGGGTTTCGGGTTTTGGGTTTTGGGTTTTAGGGTTTTAGGGTTTGGGGTATCCACCTGTAAACTATAGTCTCCATTGTAGTTCCTTTTTGGGGTTACCTTATTATGGACCCGATATATAGACTTGGTTGAACCACAAAAAGGGAGTAGCAATGGAGACTATTGTTCGGAAGGATTGCCCTCTTCCAAAAAGTTCGAAGCTTTTCGGACACTTAACCACCCAGGCGCTCAACCCCTAAACTCCTTACTGTATTCATTGTGGCCCCGGAAACCCTTTCTAATGACCCGGCTCTCATTCTACAGGGCCCGAAATTTTCACACCCTGGACTTTGTGGAGTCCCCCTTAGCCTTGAACCGCTCAAGACCCTGAAGCCCTACACCCTGAACCCTCATGAACCTTAAAACCTAAACCGTAGACCCCAAACCTTAAACCCTAAACCTTCCAAAAACCCTAAAACTTTAAACCCCATGATAAACCCTGTAAGCCCTGAATGCCCTAAGCCCTAAACCTTAAACCCAAAACCCAAAACCCTAAACCCTAAACCCCTGAACCCTAAACCCGGAGCCCTAAACCCTAAACCCTAAACCCTAAACCCGGAGCCCGGATTCGGCAGGTGGCGAACCTGGGCATGGAGAGGCGGAGCATCGGACCTGTGTCCCTGGCAGGGAAGCCGCTGCTTAGAGGCAGGTTTATTTAGGGTTGGGGGTTTAGGGTTTAGGGGTTTAGGGTTTAGGGTTTAGGGTTTGGGGTTTAGGGCTGCTTAGATGCGGCAGGTGTAAGGGTTACTATGAGGGCTACTGTAAATGGCGATCATAAGGGGTACTATAAGGCCCGAAACTTTTGGGCTACTGTAAGGGTAATTACAACAAAGGCGACTATAAAGGCTGCTGCAAGCGTTACAATAGCGGTTGCTACTTGATGACCGTTTCAAAGGTTTTTTGGAGGGTGTTAAATGCTTTTTGTTTGTGTCTTTAAATATGAGTGTTTAGACTTTATAGCCCTTTACCACGACTTTGTTAAGCTGCATGGAAGAACCTTGGATAAACGAGCTAACCCTTGTTAGTCTCGCAGTATTCGTTGATCTACATATACGCATTTTCGTAGTTGCAGGTTCGGGCACGGAGATGCTCATCGTTGTTTGCCTGACTAGCCTTGCCTGGCTTTTTTTTTGTGGGCTCTTCTTTGGCCATCTGGTGTTCGCAGAAGTCACACGCTTCGCACCGTGCATTCGGAGAAATAGCTAGCATTCTTGGGGTAAGTGAAGGCTCAGATGTTCAAGCAGCTGACAGATCCCCTGTCCGACCCCACTGCCACAATCTGCCAAGAGCTGTCCATGACCTGAGCTGTGCTCTTATAGGTGCCACTGTCCTACGCCATTTTCTCGCTGGCATTATAAACATGACCTGCTTGCGTTAACTTCTCAAAACCCAAACGCTACTCACCCTGAAAAGGCTAGTATAATATAGGGGCCTTAATTTTTTTGGGGGGGTTCCTGATTATAGTTATATTATAACATACCCCAAAGCCCTATCCAGTTCTAACTCTGAAGGCTCCATATATTAAAGCTCCCAGCGTCTCCCCAATATAAGGCTGCTCGTGGGCTCACGCCACCAGCCGCACATCGCCAACGATGCGGCCCTGATGCCGGGCCGCCGTTAGCAAAGGGGGTTTTGGGTTTTGGGGTTTGGGGTTTGGGGTTTAGAGGTTTTGGGTTTTAGGGGTTTTGGGTTTAGGGGTGTATGGGCTTAGGGGTTTAAGTGTTTAGGGTTGAGGGTTCTTCCAGTGGGTTTCCTAGCCGTCCTAGCCCATATAAGCCTGCTTCTCCAGCGCCGTTCACTGCGCACGAGGTTTGAGGGGTGAACGTTTGCCGCATCTCCAACCCTTTCCGAGTACGTAATTCCCCAAAAAACCCTAGACCCAACTTCTGAAGCCCTCAACCCTTGAACAGCTGAGCCCGAGGCCCCAAACCAATTCCATAACCAGTACGTACTTCAGCATGTCCGTAGGATTGATATGTGTGTCCCAAACCACCCTCATCGAATAGCCTGGGCTTGGGGTTTCGGGTTGGGGGGCCCAATAGCACCCATCATCGACGTCCCTGTCCCAGGAAAGGCTTCACGAATATCGTGGACCGGGACCACTTCTGCATTGCTTCGGAGGGTGGCGTCTTCTGGCTCCTGTGCCTTACGAGTGGCACGGCTGCTTTTAAATCTTTGGGAGAGATGGGCAAACAGACTTCAGGTGTTAGTTTAAAGGTTGGCTCCACAAGCCCTGATACAGTGCGCTTGCAAACACGCCGAAGTCGAATGTTCCATCCCGAACTTGCTTCGGCACCCATGAACGGAACCCGATTATAATCTCTAAACTCCAAGCCTTATAAGCCCTAAACCCCAAACCCCAAACCCTAAACCCTAAACCCTAAACCCTAAACCCTAAACCCTAAACCCTAAACTCCAAGCCCTAGACTCCTAAACCCCGAGGCCTAAGGCCTACACCTTTCGTCCCAGCAAGGCAAGGGCCTCTGGCGCGTCCGGGAGGGAGTAGAGCCCCAACGCCTGATTCTCGCAGCTCGGCTGGGTTTAGGGTTTAGGGTGGGATCACATCGAGGCTTTGACTTGAGCTCTAATGCCTCGATGTTTCCAGCTATCTTCTGTGACTGTGACGATGATGCTTATGCAGTACTCTTACTGTTTTTAGTGCTCTTGAATCCAAAGCCCTAACAAACCCTAATAAAACTGAGCCCATAAACTTCAAATCCCAAACCCTATAAACTTAAAACCCTAACCCCCAACCCTATAAGCTTTAAACCCCGAGCCCCAAATCCTATAAGCTTTAAACCCTCATCCTTTTGTTCAGCTGAGGACGACCTCGCCTCCTTGCAACACGGCGACGTCGTCGTGCCGAGGTTAGGATCCGAACTCAGCGTGGAGCAGCGCCTGGGCCTAGGGGATTCTACGATAGGGGGGGTTTAGGGTTCAGGCTTTAGGGCCTTAGTAACTACCTAGGGTTTAGGGGTTTAGGGTTCAGGGGTTTAGGGTTTAGGGTTCAGGGCTTAGGGTTTAGGGTTTAGAGTTTAGGGTTTGGGGCCTTATAACAAGAGCTACCTATACTCTGTAGTGGGTTTAAAGTTTAGGGTTTGGGGCTTTAATTATAAGTACCTATACTCTTTTGGGGTTTAGGGTTGAGGGTTTGGGGCCTTTATGACTACCTATATTTTTTTGGTATTTCTTGTTGGATTAGGGTTTGGGGTTTGGGGCCTTCATAACTACCTATACTATTTTGGGGTTTCTTGTTGGTTTAGGGTGTAGGGTTTGGGGCCTTCATAACTACCTATACTATTTTGGTGTTTCCTATTGGTTTAGGGTGTAGGGTTTGGGGCCTTCATTGTTATATTCATGCATAACTACCTATACTATTTTGGGGTTTCCTATTGGTTTAGGGTATAGAGTTTGGGGCCTGTATAAAACTATACCATTCTGGAGGTCCCTATTATATATTATGGTATAGCTGGGCCCCAAAACCCTATTCTGATTATTAAGACCCCTACATTCGGGCTGTTGGAGTTCAGGGCTTTAGGAGTTTTGGGGGGCTTCAGGGAAGGTGGGAGTCTAGGGGTTTGAGGGGATTGAGGCGATTTAGGGGTTTGGGCTCAAGGCCTTTGATGGCTGAGGCGACTGTTTCGTGAGGGGGTTGTGATGTCATTGCAGATTCTACAGGTTTCTAGAAGATATTGGTCTTGCTCAGTTTCGTCGATGCTTTATCGGCTTCTTCCTGCAGGGTTTCTGGATTAGGACTCATTGTAGACGTGAGCGTAAATTGTAATGGTCGGAATACGTATCAATACCATTCTGTCGGGCTCCTTGTTGTAATGATTATGCTCTGATGTACCCCTGAAGCACATATTCTTATCATACATCCCTTTAGGTAGATAAAAGGTTTAGGGCGTAGGGATTCAGATTTACCGGGTGGGTTTAGGGCTGTGCCATACATACCAACCTGTGCATTCGTTTTGGGGGCAGCAACACAATTCGGAGCCTCAACGATGTAGTGAAGAATCTGCCCCACCAAAACACCCGTCTATACAGTACATACATACATACATCCATACATGCATGTATGCATGCATACATACAGACATACCGACATACCGACATACAGACATACAGACATACATATATAACTGTACATATATATATATATATGTATGTATATTTGTATTTGTACTTGTTTATGTACATTTGTAATCATGGCATCGATGGGCATGGCCTCAACGCCCCGGGCATCCAGGTGCTGCCGCACCCTCTCCTGGCGCTTCACGGTCCTCCTGGAGCCCAGCTAAGATGTCTTATGAAAAAAAAGAAACGCGAAATCCCAGGGTTCGGTTTCCACCCGTTCAGCCGAAAATTGAAGGAAGAGTCGTAGCTAGAAGCCTTCTGTGAATGGGTGGGGGCCCAGACCTTGAATTATTATGATGGTAAGACCCGCAGGAATCGAAAGCAGATCGACGTCTCACCATGCTGGCACTCTTTGTTTATGGTGTTCTCCGGGCGCCAAAGGCAGTCCGTTACTGCGAGTCTCCGGTAAGTGTTCTCTCAACGCTACCCGGGGTCCGTGATGCAAGCAAGCCCGTTTAATTTCGTGCAAGTTGGTTAGATCGTGCAGAGAAATTGCGTGCAGCTAGCTTCCAGGGACGCTTTCATGGTGTTTGCAATGGTCAAAATTTGGCAACATCCCTCCGGGCCTGGTCTGGATCATGATACTAACTTTAGGGTTTAGGGTTTAGGGTTTAGGGTTTAGGGTTTAGGGTTTAGGTTTAGGGTTTAGGTTTAGGTTTAGGGTTTAGGGTTTGGGGTTTAGGGTCAGCAAACTTTTGATATCAGTGGCCCTGGCATGCTACGCCAACGGATGCTAGAGAGGACCATCGACCTATCGCTCGATGTCCTGCCCAGAAAATTCGCTCGACCGCGTACCCAGACCCCCAAAAGGATCTAAAAAATAGATCCCCTAATTAGGGACCCGAACTACTAAAGGGTACTTTATAGGAACCCCCTTAGGGGATCTATTTTTTAGATCCTTTTGGGGGTCTGGGTAGTGAACCTGCAAGGGCAATTCGTCTAAGGTTGAACCCATGGGCCCCTAACATGGGCCCTTAGGGGATTCTAGGGTCCCTTAAGGGTATATATATATATATATAGGGTAAATAGTAGGTATATTAGGCTCCCAGGGTTAAGGGCCCATACTAGGGGCCCAAGGGTTCTACCTTAGAATTCGTCAGCGAACGCTTTTCTTCATTGCTCCAAAAAGTTAAAAAGCGCGCACTGGCTTGCTAGACCCAACACCCATAAGGCATCACTGCATCAACCCAATGGTCTCATACCACAAAACCCTGAATTCCTAACTTCATGTAATATAGCGCAGAACACCGAATTGGTTCAGCCAAGACTCCCCATCAGCTTTGAGTGAGGTGCTTCAGGCCATGGGGCGAGAAGAACAAGCCGATGTAGTCAGTACTCGGAACAACAGGTACTACTGTTCAATTACAGTCCGAGTCTGGGTGTGCGGTTCGCCTTCCTAGTGCATCTTTCTTGCAACTGCTCAGCATCTGCAAGCTCATCTGCTGTCTGCTGTGTTTCTCTGCTTAGCTGCCATCTTCCAAGTGCCGTAATTTTGAGATTCCTAGCCCGTTTTATCTCTCTCGAACCCCTACTTCCTAAAGTCTCCGCCTTCTCTAAATTAGGGTCCCTTCTTAGGTCGCCAAAACAGTACGGCACCCGTATAAAAAGGGGCCCTAAAAGGGACCCTAATCTAGAGAGCTACCCAAATATAGACACCAAGAAACATTGCATGAGGTCCAAGCTTCCCTTGACAAGCTCCTTATGTATATAAACCCGAATCTTCTCAACCCCAAATCCTTAGGCCCTAACTTATGATTCCTTTCAAACCTTACTAAATCCTAGACCTCACAGACGAACTCCCGAACCCTGAATCCGTAGACCCTCAACCCTGAAACTTCTCCTCTGCTGCTCTTTTGTTGGTGCCTTCCCAGCTCTACTTGGTAACTCGCGCGCAGGGTTCCGACACCAAAGCTGTGTCGGTCAACGTTGGCTACCAGGCTCGGAAATCCAACAGACTTCTACGAGTTGTAGATATGTGTATGCTTGTGCAAACACCCACATAGAAACACAATGTGTTCATATAGACGGATAGGTAGATGGATAGATAGATAGATAGATAGATAGATAGATGGATAAATAGATAGATAAATACATAGATCGATAGTGCATGGGTATGTGTATGTGTATGTGTATTTGTAACTCTATATGTATGTGGATGTGTATGTGTACGCGTACGTGTATGTGTATATGTATGTGTTTGTATGTGTTGGTGTGTGTATATATAAATTATATACACACGCACATACATATATACAAAAAAGATCCATACATCATACATGCATATACATACATGCATACATACATACATACATACATACATACAGACAGACAGACAGACAGACAGACAGACAGACAGACGCATATATAACGCGAACTTATCTGGGAAGTTCAGACAAGCCGGTAAGCTGGACCTGACTTATGAAACACAATCCCATCTAATGTGTGTATTCTGCTTGTACTCCGGGTTGTCGAGCAATCAAGAGAGTACCCGGCCTAACGCAGACACCAGCAAAAATTGGCAGCTCCCTCCACACGAGGAAAAGGCTTAGCAAGTCGGCTAGCAGTGAAGTAGGTATAACAAGGAGTAACCTAATTAAGGTACTGACGACAACCCCAAACAAACCGACGTGTTCGGTCCTGTGCTGCTCGAAGTAGATATTAAAACCCTAAACTCTGACACGCCAAACCCCCCAAAGCTCGAAACCACCAACTTCGACCCAAGGTCCCTCAAAATGCCCCGAACCATAAATCCCCAAGGCCGAAACCACGCCAACTACGCCTGAGCCCTATACTCCTTGATGTACATAACCCTGACATAACCCTGAACCACTACACCCTAAACCCCTCTAAATTCCCCTAAGCCCTGAACCTAAATCCTAACCCCCTAAAGCCCTTGAGCCCTCAACCATCTCTCAGGCGCTGAATGCTGGAGGAGCCAAGACGCTCGCCAAGGCCCTGGGCATTTCATGGGAGACCGTGGGAGATTCGAAAAAACTAGAGCCTTAAGCTTACGCGCGGCCGGTTCAGAGCTTTGGGCTTGGGGTTTAGGGTGTCGGGTTTAGGGTTTTGGGGCGATTTCGGCGCTTAGTGTTTAGGGTTAAGGAGTTCAGGGGTTTAGGGCTTTGGAGTTCAGGGTTCAAGTTTTGGGGCCTTGGAGGGTTGATCGGCACTAGGAACGGATCATGCCGGTAAGCTTGTGGATTGGTTTAGGGTTTAGTTTAGGGTATGTGCCCTGAATCCGTGCTGGAGGCTTTGGCATCCGAGAGTGATCTAGTATACAAGCCCAGAATATCTACCCATACCGTTTCTTCAGGACTCCTATTCTTGATTAAATTAACGCCTTGATATTACCTCCACGGCCTTCACGTGCCTACTGTGGAGTTCTTTGTGACCCGCTGCATGGTTCCGATGTGAACGCCAAGCCTTGAGCCGTATACCCGAAGCCCTTTTGTTCCTACATCCCCAACCCCAGATCATACCCACAGTCTCCGTTGTAGTTCCTTTTTTGGTTTAACCAGTTCTCTATATACAGGATCCTATAAGGTACCCTTAACCCCCAAAAAAGGCACTACCATGGAGACTATATAGGTACCCCTAAACCCTAAACCCTAAACCCCAAACCCCAAACCCTAAACCCTAAACCCTAAACCCTAGTCTTGAAGAGTGCTCCGGCGCAGGCTCTGAGCGCGCAGCTCGAGGCTGGTTGTTCCTCTCTGAGCAGACTTCGGGATGGCTCTACCCATAGGCCCCATGGTAGTTCCTTTTTGGGGGATTCCCTTAATAGGATTCTATATATGAATCCCCAAAAAGCAACTACTATGGGGCCTATGGGTATACCCTATTCCATTCTATATCTTCTGCTCTGTTCTGTGCTGTTCTGTTCTGTTCTTTTCTGTTTTGGTACATTGTGGCATTTTAGGAGAGAGGTGCTGAACCCAAGCAGGGTCTTGGATTAAGGTTCAGGCTCTAGATTCTCAGGTCCAGCGCGCAGAGTTACTGAGCCCTAAACTCTAAGTCGAAGCACTCCGCCGGTTACGCCTCCCTAGACCCTAAACCCCTGGCCCTAAACCCTAAGTAACCTCTAAGCCCTAAACCCTGAGTAAACCCTAAGCCCTAAACCCTGAACCCTAAACCCTCTTTCTTTTTTCCGGAGATCTGAACCCGAGAAGGTTTGAGCGAGAGGATCCGGGATCCTGCAAACTCTAGACTGGACGCTCTAAGCCAAGCCTTCATGGCTCCTTGCCATTTGGATTATTCGGGTTTCGGGTTTAGGGTTTGGGGCGGTTCAGGGTTTAGGGCGTAAGCCCTAAACCCTAGACCCTAAACCCTAACCGTAGGTGTAGGGTTCATTCAATCCCGCCACGATTTTGACCTTAGACCCGGAGGAAACCTGGGATGTTCAACCTGGGGGCCCAAGAATGTGGCTTTTGGGGTACAGTCTATCGTATACCATAGTTTCGGGTATAGGGTTTAGGGTCCATAATGATAAGTATAAGGAGCCCTAAAACATACTAGTGCTACACTAGTTTTATAAAGATAAGTACAAGGAGCCCTAAAATTTAGTCGTACTTTACTCATTTCATTAAGTTATTACGACCTCAGACGTCAGAGGCCTTGGAAGTGGACATCTCTGGCAATGGAATCGGCGTCGAGGGCGCCAAGGTCCGGCGCCAAATCCATCTTGAACTGTGAAACTTCGAGGGTTCCCCGAAAAGCCGCACAGCCACTGACACATGTTCGACCCCCAAACCCAAAACCCAAAACC